AGGATCACCTGAGCCCAGGAAGTCGAGGTTGTGGTGAGCCACAATCATGTCACTGCTCTCTAACCTGGGTGATAAAGAGAACTCAACATTTAAACAAAGCAAAACAAAACACAAGAGTACCTCATTTCTTCTTCCTCATCTCTTGGCAGCCACCAATCTACTTTCTGACCCTGTGAATTTCTCTCTTCTGGGTGCCGCATATAAGTGGAATCATACACTATTTGTTCTTTTGTGACTGGCTTGTACCACTTCACATGGTGTCTTCAAGTGTCATTCATGTTATAGAATGTGTCAGAATTTCCTTCCTGTTTATGTCTGAATAATATTCCATTGCATGTATATATATCACATTTTGTTTATCTCTTCATCCATCGATGGACATTTGGGTAGCTTCCACCTTTTGGCTATTGTGAATAAAGCTGCTATGAGTCAGGCACAGTAGCCCATGCCTGTAATCCCAGCACTTTGAAAGATCTAGGCCAGAGGATTGCCTGAGCTCAGAGGTCTGAGACTAGCCTGGACAACTTGATGAGACCTTGTCTCTACAATAAATCAAAATATTAGCCAGGCATGGTGGTGTGTGCCTGTAGTTCAAGCTCCTGGGAAGGCTGAGGAGGAAGGGTCACCTGAGCCCAGCAGTTTGAGGCTGCGGTGGTCCTAAGTGTGCCGTTGTACTCCAGTCTGGGCGACAGAGTGATACTCCAACTAAAAAAAATAAAAAAGCTGCTATGATCACAGATGTATACATGCAGAAGCTGGATTATATGGTTAATTCTATATTTAATTTTTTGAAAAACTACTGTGGTTATGTTTTCCACAGTAGCTGGATGCTGGGTTTCTTTTTTTCTTTGAGTTGGAGTCTCACTCTGTCACCTAGGCTGGAGAGCAGTGGCATGCTCACGACCACCACAGCCTCGACCTGCTGGGTTCAGGCGATCCTTCCACCTCAACCTTCCAAGTAGCTAGAACCACAGGCACGCGCCATCACACCTGGCTCATTTTTTGATTTAGTGTAGAGACAAGGTCTCACCATGTTGCTCAGGCTGGTCTCGAACCCCTCAGCTCAGGCAATCCTCTCACCTTGGCCTCCCAAAGTGCTGGGATTACAGGCGTGAGCCACTGTGCCCAGCTTGAATGCTGGCTTTTAATTGTTTTCATTTTCATTTTATTTTTTGAGTCAGGGTCTCATTCTGTAGCCCAGGTTGACATGCAGTGGTGTGATCATGTCTCACCACAGTCTCAACCTCCTGGACTCAAGTGATCCTCCCTTCTCAGCCTCCCTGGGACTACAGGTACATGCCATCATACCCAGCTAATTTTTAAATTTTTTGTAGAGATGAGATCTCGCCATGTTTCCCAGGCCAGTCCTGAACTCCAGGACCCAAGCGCTCCTCCTACTTTGGCCTCCCAGATTGCTGGGATTACAGGCATGAGCCACTGAGCCCAACCTGAATTCTGGCTTTTTAAAACAGAGTTTGCTGAAGACAACCTCATCTTTCCCTGATGGTATAATGAAGTGATTCTTTCAGGCTCTACACCACATGGCCTTAGACTGTAGGCCTTCACGTTGTGTTTGTTTGTCTCTTTATATGTGGCTGGTGCTTTATTGCCAGGCTTATTTTTCTTGATCAAAGTTCTTGGCTTGTTTCCTGATACTTGGCTACATCCTGCATAGGTGAGGTTGTTGATGAGCTCTAGGCAGATGAACTAAATCTGCACACAGCAACAGGATCCTGCCTCTCTTCACACAGAAGGAGTGACTTACAGAGAGTTATAGAGTGAGTGCCTAGAGTCAATGACACAACAAGGTAATATCTCTTCTCTTAGGCCAGCTCTGCATACGATGGGCTGTCTGTCTGTAGCCATCCTGCTTATGTTCTAGGCATGAAGGAAGTCCCGTTCACCAATCACCTAGGAGGGCACATCACTGATTCTTTGATGGACCCGTTAAGGGGCCCCTTGGATCTGGGTTTCACTCATATTTCCATTGTTACTAGCTGTGGAATCTTGAGCAAGTGATTAACCTCTCTAAATCTCCATTCCTCCACTTTAAAATAGGGATAACAGGCCGGGCTTGGTGGCTAGCACGTGTAATCCCAGCACTTTGGGAGGCCAGGTGGGAGGATCACCTGAGACCAGGAAGTCAAGACAGTCTGGGCAACATAGCAAGATCTCATCTCTAAAAAATAAAAAATTAGCTGGGTGTGGTAGCACATGCCTGTGGTTTCAGCTACTTGGGAGGCTGAAGTGGAAGGATTGCCTGAGCCCAGGAAGTGGAGGCTGCAGTGAGCCATGATCGTGCCACGGCACGATCACCCAGCCTGGGTGACAGAATGAGACTCCACCTCCCTAGATATATATACAGATAACAATCACGCATACCTTGTAGGGTCAAATGCAGTTATGTCTATGAACTGTTTGGCACGGTGTCTAGCATTTAGCAGGTGCTTAAGAAATGACAGCAGCTGTGATTATCATCATTAATGTCATTACTGAACTGCCTCTAATGGCAAGAAAAACAAAAACGACATGGTCTCTGCTTGTGGAACTCAGTCTAGTGAAGAAACAGACACTGAAGTGTCACAGATACATAAACTGCTATGTACCCATTATGATGAATGCTACCAAAGAGACGTCCCATAGAATGAACTGGCTTCATGTGGGAGGTGACAGAGGGTGAGGAAATGATGCCGAACTGACTGTGAAGGAAGAGAGAGGTTCACCAGGGCAGTAAGGAACCACTGAAACAAGAGGGTGGCATGTATCATGTCTTCAAGTTGTTTGGATATTTAAGCTTCCTCAAATAATTTTGGGGCAAATATATAGTAAAAATAAAATGTGCACATTCTCAGTTCTTTATGGTTTTAGATCATTTCCCCTATATCAGGTAGTGTCCTTTTCAGTTTGAAAATCCAGTTAATGATGTCTTACATCACCAGGCCATTTAGATTTTACCTAACAAGTCCACAGGTGGTTGGTCCCAGGGTTGGCTCAGTAACTCAATGATATTATCCAGAACCTGGACTCCTCCTGTCTTTCTACTTGGCTGGCTGCTACAGCTCCAGGCATCATATCCTCACACTACTAGACTCAAAGAAAGAAAGGAAAGAGGACACAGAAAGACATTTCTCTGCATACACTTTTGTCTTTTCAAGAAGAAAAACCTTTCGTAGGGGTCCCAGTAAACTTCTCCTATGTCTCATTGGCCAGAACTAGGACATATTCCCACCTCTTGACCAATCACTGACAAATGAGAACATGGTTGCCACGTTGCATAGACCAGCCACGATTCAGGCCTTGGGGGGTCATCGGGTAATGGCTGTTGGCAAGACAACCAACAGTGTTTGCCACATTCCCAGAAAAAGAACAATGCTGTGCAGTTAAACTGATCCAGCCCTGCCAGTGAGGTCGGTGGTGACCTTTTCCCTCAGTGCCAGTTTCATAAAGATCCACCACAATCTCCTCTTATGTCCTTTTCCAGTTCCATTGCCCCGGTAACCTCCTATGGGGGGGGGGGTCTGGTGGATTTAGTTTTTTTTTTTTCTTTTCTTTCTTCTCTTCTATTGTCTTTGTTTTGAGTTGGGATCTCACTCTGCTACCTAGACTGGAGTGCAGTGGCACACTCATGGCTCACTGCAGCCTCGACCTCCTGGGCTCAGGCGGTCCTTCTGCCTCAGCCTCCCAAGTAGCTGGGAGGTACAGGTGCACACCACCATGCCTGGCTAATTTTTTTTGATTTTTTTTGTAGAGATGAGTTCTCACTATATTGTCCAGGCTGGTCTTGAACTCCTGGGCTCAAGTGATCCTCCTACCTTGGCTTCCCAAAGTGCTGGGATGACAAGTATGAACCACCATCCCCAACTGGTTTCAGTATTTTCTACCAGGATTCAGCATTTGGATCCTTTTTCATGTAACTGCCATTTCCAGACTCCCCTACATAGCTGGATATTTTTCAAGATCACCTTTGGTTATTCTGCCTTGATTCATCAAATGTCACTGTCGGATATCACTTCAAACAGAAGCTCCCTATCTGCTTTAAGCCCTAGTGATCAGGTTAACTCCAGGAAGAGACTGAATGGACTCTCTTAGCTTTTCCATATTTCTTGGAAGGGGGTGAGCTGGGGGTGTGACCCTCACGCCAGCTCTCAGCTCCTTGGCCATCAAGTCAGCTCAGCTGAGCTTCGACTTAGCTCTTTGGGCCATCAAGGGGGAAAAGACCAAGGCAGAGACTCCCGAGGTATACTTCAGGGGCCAGGCTTCCTTTCAACAAGTCCCGAGAGAGCAGGAGCTGTTTTCTCTGTGTTCCACAGAGCAGCTTATGTACCAAATATTCGCTAAGTTCGCTGACTTCCCCCTCCACCGCAAATCTCCTTGAAGGCATAACTTTGACCTCATCTGTGCCAACATCCCCAACTCCAGCCACCTGTGTGGAAATGTCATTGCTTCACTCTGGGGCCTGCATGGCTGGCCCTTCACCCCAGCCTTATCTGACTCCTCATACTTCTGGCACGCTCAGCTTCTCGCAGCCCACCCTCCCCCCCGATGTGCCCCTCGCCCTCATCCCCAGGCCTGTGTGTGTTGTCCCCAAGTCCTCACTCCTTGCTACCTCCCGGTCCCTTTACCTGACTCCTCCCCCTCCTAAGGCCTCCGGTTGGTCATCACCTCTTCCAGGAAGTTTCCCCTGACCCCAGGACTCAGGAGAGCCCCTCCTCTGTGCTCTGCATCGCCTTACAGTTGCCCCTCCTTGTCTGCCTCCTCACTGGAGCATGTACCCCTCGAGGCAGTGGCCTCCATCTTACCCCCCATCACATGCCTGTGACTAGCTCAGGACCTGGCACTTGGTTGGTGGATAAATGAATGAATGATTGGTTCTTGGTTCACCTCATCAGGCAGCACCCACGGCTTTTTCTGCAGGGGCTCTTGGGAGGCTTGGGGGACTGCCTGCTCAGCCCTGGGAGAAGCCCGGAGCCTGAAAGAGGGTCTGCCCTTTCTCCCCTCAGGGATCAACTACTGTGCGCTGAACAAGCCAGGCTGTGAGCACGAGTGTGTCAACACGGAGGAGGGTTACTACTGCCGCTGCCGTCAGGGCTACACCTTGGACCCCAACGGCAAGACCTGCAGCCGTGAGTGTGCCCGAGGTTGGGGGGCTTATGAGGCAGGCTCCACACACAGCTCCGGGCTCACTAGCAACCAGTCTCTTATGGAACCCCTGGGTTTCCTGGTGGTCTGTGGGGTGTAGCCACGCTTAGCCTCAGTCAGAGTCTCACTCTGTCACCCAGGCTGGAGTGCAGTGGCACGATCATGGCCACCACAGCCTTGACCTGCTGGGCTCAGGCGATCCTTCCATCCCAGCCTTCCAAGTAGTTGGAACCACAGGCATGCGCCACCACGCCCAGCTAGTTTTTGCGATTTATTGTAGAGACGAGGTCTTGCCAAGTTGCCCAGGCTGGTCTCGAACCCCTGAGCTCAGGCAATCCTCTCACCTCCCCCTCCCAAAGTGCTGGGATTATAGGCACAAGCTGCGCCTGGCTTTTTTTTTTTAAGATGTGGGGTACAATTCAGGATTAGGTATACAAGTGGTCATCGTACAGGCAAAGTTTGGGCTTCCCTTTTGTCCCCACTTTGCCTGGTTTGAGATCAGGTGCCTTTATTGATGTTGTGCCCCCCCTCCAAAATGGGAATATTAACACTATCTACCTCGTAGGTTGAGTTGTGAAGATTAAAATAATTAATCCAAGCCGGGCTCGGTGGCTCAGCCTGTAATCCCGCGCTTTGGAAGGCTGAGGTGAGTGGATTACCTGAGCCCGAGGGTTTGACCCGCCTGGGCAACTTGGCGAGATCTCATCTCTACAATAAATCAAAATGAGCCAGGTGTGGTAGCGCACGCCTGTAGTTCCAGCTACTTGGAAGGCTGAGGCAGAAGGATCGCCGGAGCCCGGCAGGTCGAGGCTGCGGTGGCCGGGAGTGGCCACTGCACTCCAGTCTAGGTGAGAGTGAGACTCCGACTCAAAACAACCAAACAAACAAAAAAATAAAATAAAATAATTAATCCATGTTAAACACTTAGTGCTGCTGGGCATAAACACTCAGTAAATACTCACTAATTAGCCGGGCATGGTGGCGTGTGCCTATAGTTCCAGCTACTTCGAAGGCTGAGGTAGAAGGATCACCTGAGCCCAACAGGTCGAGGCTGCAGTGGCCATGAGCGTGCCACTGCACTCCACCCTGGACAGCAGAGTGAGACTCCTACTAAAAAGAAAAAATACTATTTTTTAAAAATAGAAACAAGGTCTCGCCATGTTGCCCAGGCTGGTCTCGAACTCCTGGGTTAAGGCAATCCTCTTGCCTTAGCCTCCCAAAGTGCTGGGATTACAGGCGTGAGCCACCATGCCTGGCCTATATTCACTAATATTATTATTTGCTGTTGGGAACATTTACTAAGTCAGACAGGCCTGAATTCAAATCCAAGCTCTACCACAAACTCAATGTGTAACCCTGAGCAAGTTATTTAACTTCTCTAGGTTTTGCTTTACCATCTTTTGAAAAAAGTAAAACCAACCAGGTGTGGTGGCTCACATTTATAATTCCAGCACTTTGAGAGGCCAAGGAGAGAGGATCGCTTGGGGTCAGGAGTTTGAGAAGCAGAAGGACAACATAGCAAGACTCTGTTTCTAGCAAAAAAAATTCCTAAAAATTGAAGAAAAAAAAGTAAACCTACCCGGGCTTTTATGGGGAAAAAATCAGGACCATTTCAGTCTCTTAGCTTGGTGCCAGATAAACATTTCGTCACAGAGAACAGTTCCTTTTGTGGCACCTGTGAGAGTGGCCAGTACCTGGCCCCAGGTTGGGCCAAGAGGCCAGAAGGGATAGACCTCAGAAAGCGATGGGCTACACAGGCCCATCTGAGGGTAGAGCTGAGAAACATGGGACATTCTGTGAAGCCTTTTCTTAATCTTGTGTCAGAGCCACAGCAGACTCACTTGGTGATGTAAACGCACGGGAACTCACAGGCTCTGCCAGCTGGCGGGCCCACCGTTTTTATGAGGCACAGTCTCCACAGTCCCAGCCAGCAGGGTGGGAGTGCCGGAGCGCTGTGGTGGAGTTGTGGCCCTGGCACTCGGGGAGAGGGGCTCGGCGACACGGCCTGTGCAGAAGGGGCCCTTTGTGTGGCTTTCCACCCGGCAGTCCCCACATCTGCTCCCCGCTGGAGACAGAGAGAGATTGTGAGTGAGGACAGTGCAGCTGTTGAGTATTCAGGCCCTAAACCGCCAGCAGGGAAGCTTCACCGATGAAGTATGAGACTTAGGGCAGCTCTCAGGAAAACGTGTCCCCTTCAATCTTCAGGGGGGAACAAAGTGGCTTTCCAAGGACTGAGCTCAGAGGCCAAAGGGCTTTTGAACTAGAGCACTGGTGCAGAAGTCAGTGCCTGCTGTGCCTTTGTTTCTGTGCACTTCTGGGGAGCAAGAGGTCTTCTGCACGACAAGGTGATGTCCTGATGATGATGGATCTGTGCAAATCCTGACTTTTTTCCAGGAGTTTCGGTCTTCCAGCTGATGGCCCTGGAGGTGTCCTGGGACGGGCTGGGCATGACCTAGCTGAGTCCACCTAGGCCACCAGGACAGGTGGTTTGCCTGTCCTTCTCCCAGCATGCTTTGGGGAGCCTAGGCGAGCTCAGAGGATGGACCACAAGAGATGGGACCCTCCTTTCTCTCTGGGATCTAGTCAAACTAGAAAGTATAAACCAAGCCATTTCTACCTAGGGGTCTCCAGAGAAGGCCATGGTCTTCTGCTTCCCCTGAGGGCAAACCTTTATAAGGCATTCACTCCATGTAAGCACTGCTGTGAGCATTTCCCATGCGCTAATTCACTTTATCCTTACAACAGCCCTATGAGGCATCCACATTCTTGCCCCTATTTAAGGTTGGGGAAACTAGACCGGGCACAGTGGTTCCTGCCTGTAATCCCAGCACTTTGGGAAGCTGAGGTAGGAGGATCGCATGAGCTCAGGAGTTTGAGACCAGCCTGAGCAACATAGCAAGACTTCGTCTCTACAAAAAAATCAGTCGGGTGTGATGGTGTGTGCTTATAGTCCCAAGTATTCAGGAGGCTGAGGCCGGGAGGTTGAGACTGCAGTGAGCCATGATCATGCCACTGCACTCCAGCCTGGGTGACAGAGTGAGACCCTGATTCAAAAATAAAATGAGGAAACTGGCACAAAAAGTTTAAGTCACTTTCCCAGGGCCTTGTCACTAGTAAATGGCAGAACCAAATGTGGACACAGGCATGTGGCTCCCGAGATCCTGTAAGTGTTTGCAGTTGGTGTATCTACCAGTGGAATGTTCCAGAAGGCACCCGTCCCAGGCCCTGCGGGAGTGAAGAGGCCCAGGTGGTGGCCCTGCACAAGGCCTCCAGTGTCTGTGCTGTCTCAGGGGATGCGTTTTCTCCATCAAGGGGATCTGGGAGGCAGCCTGCAGGGCTGTCCTTGGGGGCCATTCACCACAGCTGTGTGTGCATTGGTCTTCAGCGCTTGCTGCCCAGGGGACCAGCTGTGTGCTGTGCGGGCGCCAGGATGGGCCACACATGCAGGCCCAGGCTTTGGTTTGCTTTCTGCACCTGGATGTCCTGATTATGCAGGTTTAAAAATAAAAAAAAGACCCTTTTGGGCCGGGTGAGGTGGCTCATGCCCGTAATTCCAGCACTTTGGGAGGTGGAGGCAAGAGGATTGCCCAGGGGTTCCAGACCAGCCTGGGCAACTTGACAAGACCTCCTCTCTACAATAAATGAGAAAATTAGCTGGGTGTGGTGGTATGCGCCTGTGGTTCCAGCTACTTGGAAGGTCGAGGCGGAAGGATCGCCTGAGCCCAGCAGGTCGAGGCTGTGGTGGCTGTGAGCTTGCCACTCCACTCTAGCTTGGGTGACAGGGTGAGACCCTGACTCAAAAAAAAAAAATCACCTTTTCTTTTTTATTTTCAATGAGAAATGAAGCTATACAATTAATTCTTACTCAGCATTACTTGGTAATAATAATAAGCGTTCATTCAGTGGTTGTAATATGAGCTACTGTTCTGAGTGTTCTACCTGTGTCAGCTCCTCTTATTCTCACCATATTCCTGTAAGAAAGCAACCATCACGGTCTTTTTTAATTTTTTTGAGTCAGGGTCTCACTCTGTCACCCAGACTGGAGTGCAGTGGCACGATCACAGCTCACTGTAGCCTTGACCTTCTGGGCTCAAGCAATCCTTCTACTTCAGCCTCCTGAGTAGCTGGGACTACAGGCGCATGCCACCATACCTGGCCAATTTTTTGATTTTTTTTGTAGAGACAAGGTCTTGCTATGTTTCCCAGGCTGGTCTCGAACTCCTGGGCTCAAGCGATCCTCCCACCTCAGTCTCCCAAAGTGCTAGGATTATAGGCGTGAGCCACTGCGCCCAGCCAGTGCCAAAACTCTCATTCTTTTTTTTTTTTTTTTGAGTTGGAGTCTCACTCTGTCACCTAGACTGGAGTGCAGTAGCCACTCCCAGCCACCACAGCCTCGACCTGCTGGGCTCCGGCAATCCTTCCGCCTCAGCCTTCCGAGTAGCTGGAACTACAGGCTACCACGCCTAACTAGTTTTTTTTTGATTTATTGGAGAGATGAGGTTTCGCTAAGTTGCCCAGGCAGGTCTCGAACCCACGGGCTCAGGCAATCCACTCACCTCTGCCTCCCAAAGCACGGGATTACAGACTGAGCCACCGAGCCCGGCCCAAAACTCTCATTCTTAAGCATTAGTCTATCAGTGTGTGGCTCTGCGTAAGCACCTTGACCTTCCTGCGTCTCACTTTCCGCCGTGTGAAATGGGAATCGTCCCTGCTCTCAGCGCTGCTGAGATTGCAGAGTCTGCATGTCATGGCCCTGGCACAGGGGTCCACTGTCATCAACATGAGTGACAGCACTTCCCAGCTGTTGGAGTTGTATGAACTTTATTGTTGAAAGAGATGGGTAGAAAAACAAAACAGCAAGGCCGATTTCCCAGAGAGGCCAGTGATGTGGGGTTGGAGGAAACCTTCCCTAGGGCTCGTTACACCTTCAAGAAGATTTTGTTTTTCTGTCCTGGTTGCTGGTGGGGTGTTGCCCCCTCGACTCCTCTATGTGTGTGTGTGACCAATGCAGGGGTGGACCACTGTGCGCAGCAGGACCATGGCTGCGAGCAGCTGTGTCTGAACACGGAGGAGTCCTTCGTCTGCCAGTGCTCGGAAGGCTTCCTCATCAACGAGGACCTCAAGACCTGCTCCCGTGAGTCCCCACTCTGCGCTCCTCTTGGGGGGAGGGGAGGATTTACACCAGGAGGGAAATGTGGTTGATGACTACAGACGTCTTTCCATCACGTCTTTCCATCACTTTCCATCACGTCTTTCGATCGCAGGTCATGCATGGTCCCCTCTTCTCCACCCTTTTCTTTGCCCTGGGGACATTGTGGGGATGTCCACTGAGGCCTGTGTGCCTTCAGGTGGAGATGGGGGTAAGGATAATGGTCCCTTGATTCCTAGAGGCCACGGGGACCACCTGGTTTTTTTGTTTTGCAGGGGTGGATTATTGCCTGCTGAGCGACCACGGTTGTGAATATGCCTGCATCAACACAGACAGATCCTTTGCCTGTCAGTGTCCCAAGGGACATGTTCTCCGCAGTGATGGAAAGACGTGTGCAAGTGAGTGTCCGTGGGTGGGTGTAGGGGTGGAAGCACCTTGTCAGCATATACATGTGTCCTGTGTCCCTCCCTCAGGGCCTTGCTGGGCCCGTGTGAATGTGTGTAACTGCATCTTTTAGCCGACTGAGCCCTGGCGGCTGCCTCTCACTCGTCCCCAAGCTTCCTTCCCCAATCCCTGAAATGACTTTGTGCTGTTTCCACAATCTGTCTTCCTGTCATCCTGCCCTAGTTCTTAGCTCTCCCTGCTCTACCCCCAGCCAGCCAGCCAGCCAGCCATGAATAATAATAAAGTACCCTGGGAGCAATGGCTCACACTTGTAATCCCAGCACTTTGGGAAGCTAAGGAGGGAGGATTGCTTGAGCCCTGAAGTTCAAGACTAGCCTGAGCGACAGAGTGAGACCTTGTCTCTACAAAAAAAAAAAAAAAGATTCACTGGGCATGGTGGTGCATGCCTGTAGTCCCAGCTATTTGAGAGGCTGAGGCAGAAGGATCACTTGAGCCCAGGAGATCAAGGCTGCAGTGAGCTGTGATTATGACACTGCACTCTAGCCAGGGCGACAGAATGAGACGCCGACTCAAAAAATAAAATAAAATAATAATAATAATAATAATGTGGATCCTTCTGATTCTGGCTGCCTGTGGGGCACTGTGCTAAATATACATGCTATCTTGTTCCGGGGATAGATGAGGAAACTACATCTCAGATTAATTGAAGAGCCTCAGGTTACCAGCTCTTAAGTGGCGGGTTCAAACTCTGCTCTGTGTGATTTTAAAGTCCATTCTGAGAACAGGTGAGGCACCCGGGAAACCCTTCACTCCCCTCCCTGATCCCGACAATCCGACATCCCATGGCAAGGCTGGCAGTGGTGTTTCCCTCTCTTACACATTTCACTTTGACCTCTGACCTCCAGGAGCTCAAAGGTCAGTGGGCTGTGTGCTTCATGCACATCTGGTGTGTGGAGTCTTTCTTGATGCTGGAATGCCATTGTACAAGCTATCTTGGAAATTTCTAGAAGGGGAAAAAAACCCTTTCAACTGGTCCCAAATCCTCTCTCCGTTAATTAAAAAAAAAAAAAGAGCTCCCAGTCCATCTTCTCTCCTTCACCAAAGAATGCTGCTGTGTTTTTTTGCCCTGCAATCCTGCTTCCAAATAGACCAAGATAAGGAATTGAAAAATAGTCATTTTGAGAGAGGAGATCAGGAATGGAAGAAATGGACCATAATTTAACTTCCCCATCCTGCTGGTCCTTCTGGTGACAAGGCCAAGTCCCCTTGACAAGGCCAAGTCCCCTGACCACTGATACAGTTGTGGGCACAACCTAATTTTCCACCTTTTTTTGTTTGTTTGTCTGTTTCTTGAGTTGGAGTCTCACTCTGTCACCCAGACTAGAGCAGTGGCCGCTCCTGGCCACCGCAGCCTTGTCCTGCTGGGCTCCGGCGATCCTTCTACCTCAGCCTTCCGAGTAGCCGGAATTACAGGCATGCGCTACCACACCCGGCTAATTTTGTTGATTTACTGTAGAGATGAGGTCTCGCCAAGTTGCCCAGGCAGGTCTCGAACCCACGGGCTCAGGCAATCCACTCATCTCAGCCTCCCAAAATGCGGGATTACAGGCTGAGCCACCGATATCCACCTTTTTTTAGATTAAAAAATATTGTTTATTTAAAAACAAATTAGACAGAGAAGGGAGAGAAAAGATTCGCCTCCCCAAGGTGGGGGAGGGGGCCAAAGCCAGGAAGCATGGCAACACCATAGCTCAGAGAGCACAAGGCCACACCAGAATCTAGCAAAGCAGTGACCTTTATCCACCTTTTCATACCATCCATTCATCTGGGCGGGCATATAAGGAAACTGCACAGCTGGGCATGTCTCTTTGTGCTGCCCATGAGAAAATATCTTCCCACTTAGGGACAGATTCTTGAATCTTGGCAAATGGGCTGTCCATGTTACCGCCTGCTGGTGGCTCCCTGCCCGGCTGCCTCTCAGACTGCTGTGGCTGCTGCCAGCTTGGGGAGGGACTAGGCACTGGGGAGCAGAAAGAGGGTGGGTGTGTTGAATTGCATCTACATTTGACAGCAGGCCAAAGCCAGATGTGAGGAATTCTGTTGGTTTATGTTCATTCTCCATCATCTCAGATTATTCTTGCCCTTCCTCTGTCTACCTCATTATTATAATCATCAAGAACTGATTGCAAGATGTCTGCAGGACTTCCAAGAATTTCTTATAGCCCCTCCCCACCACTGCAGTCCCTTTTCTTTTTAACTTCGTGTCTCCTCCATCCCCCACCCAGGTCCACATCTGAGTTATGCCTTGGCCACTTTTAAATGTTCCCTGTTTTCTTGCGTGACATGTGTTTCTAACTAATGGCACTGTTGATATAGGCTAGAGGACCCCAAATTTGGGATCCGACCAGAGTTACCAAGAAAGATGGTGCAGCAAAGCCCGGAACTGGGGTTTTGCCTGAGGGCTTAATGGGTTCTTGGCTTCGCCCAGGAAGGAGGAGTTCAATCACAATCTGTAAGTAGGAGACAAAGAGTAAGTTTATTAAAGAAACAGATCCATAGGCAGAGTAGCCCACATGTGTTGCTGGGGTTTCAGTTGGCAAATAAAAGCAAGTTTATTAGGCTGAGCTCAGTGGCTCACTCACTTTGGGAGGCCAAGGTGAGAGGATTGTCTGAGCCCATGGATTCAAGAACAGCCTGGGTAACTTGGTGAGACCTCACCTCTAAAACAAATCAAGAAAAATTAGCCCGGTATCATGACACATGCCTATGGTTCCAGCCACTTGGAAGGCTGAGGCGGAAGGATCACTTGAGCCTAGCAGGTTGAGGCCGCGGTAGCCAGGAGCGTGCCACTGCACTCCAGCCCAGGTGACAAAGTGAGACTCTAACTTTAAAAAAAAAAGGCAAGTTTATTGAAATGGCTACTCCAGAAGCAGAGCAGCCTGGGATATAGGAAGAACAGCCACCATGCAACCCTGAGGTTTTATTATTATAGCTATCTCTTCATTACATGCTAGGCAAGAGATAGATTATTCATGGTTTTTCTAGGAATTTTCATCTTTTAGGAATTTTTCTAGGAATTTTCATTTCTAGGAATGTTTCTAGGATTATTCATGACTTTTCTAGGAAAGGGGCGGGAGTTCCCAGAATCTAGGGTTCCTCCCCTTTTTAAACCATAAAAGGTGACGTCCAGAGGTTGCCATAGTAACTGTAAACTGTCATGGCATTGGTGAGTGTCTCCTAGCATGTTAATACATTATAATTATCATATAATGAGCAAGAAGGACAGGTAGAAGTCGTTTTTGATGCCATCTTGGTCTTGGCTGGCCTGGGCCTGTCTTACCGCCTCCCATCTTGTCGGTGAGGTTGAGCCATGAGACCTTCATTTAGGAAATTAGACCTGCTGGTTCCCTTCCTGTCTCACAATGATACCATCCATATGATTAAAAGCCCAATAGTGCCATGAATAGTGAGTTGTGTTATTTATGTATTGTTATGTCTCTGTGAGAGCTTGTGAGATCATCAGATGGGTTAGAATTATCCTTGGGAATGAGACACATATTTCACCCACCAGCTGCTACATATGTGCTGAATTCTTCCCCTAATTGAAGACTTTCTGTCTGCCAGGAGTGATTCAGTCTGACTGCCCTGTCCTGTAATAATGGGCTAGGTTTTCAGTGTGGCCACAGCTAGCTGGAGTATGTTTCCCAGCTCTACGCCCGATGAGAGAGCCAGATGACATGACTGTACCTTTGTGGTAAAGCCAGGCCTGGCTCAGCCTGCATAAATGCAACCTCCCCTCAGAGCCTTGATCGCAGCTGGTCTGAAGAACCCTTCACTCACCTTCCAGAAAGTTCTCTGATGCATGGAGACAAGGCCCAAGCTCCTGAGGCCCTGGGTCGAAGTGAGCACTATTCTCTTCATACCCCTACAGGCACCGTGGGCTCTCTGGGCTCTGGAGTGAGGGCCCCTGTCTTCCCCTCAGCCTTCTGACTCTCCAAGTTTTGCCCAGATTCTCCCTAAGAGCCTTCTTGCCTCGGACAGTTAGATGTGGGTGAGGTAGGGAGGGAATAGGGCGACCTCTTCTACAACTGCAGCTGAGAGACCTCCTCCCCTCTAGAAGTTTCCTTGTACAAGGGCATCCCAGCACCAAGAAAGATTCCACAAGCCGGGCTCGGTGGCTCAGCCTGTAATCCCACGCTTTTGGGAGGCTGAGGTGAGTGGACCGCCTGAGCCCGCGGGTTGGAGACCCGCCTGGGCAGCGAGACCTCATCTCTACAATAAATCAAAAAATCAGCCGGGCGTGGTAGCGCGCGCCTGTAGTTCCAGCTACTCGGAAGGCTGAGGCGGAAGGATCGCCGGAGCCCAGCAGGTCGAGGCTGCGGTGGCCGGGAGTGGCCACAGCACTCCAGTCTGGGCGACAGAGTGAGACTCCAATTCAAAAAAAAAAGACACCACAAGCCAGATGTGCACGTGGCACACAGTCCACTGGCCTGAAGGTCAGAGGTCAGAGGCCAAAAAGGAATGAGAGGGAGAGTGAATGGACAGAGAACACCTATCTCCATCTTATTCCATGGCCCCTGGCACAGGGTCTGTCCTCTGCTAAATAACCTTCAGTGGCTCCTCACTGTCTCACAATACATTTCCTTCGCACTCTTGGATTTGGTGGTGTGGAGACCTGCCCTCCTTCACCTGAACTCCCCAGGACTTTCCTGAAGCCTCCATTCTTCAATCAAAGTGGTGAGTCCCCTATTCTCTGAGCAGGCCCCGCACCTTCTAGCCTGCCCCGTCTCCACTTAAGACGTCCTGACGACCCTCAGCCCTGCCAGTGGAAACTCAGCCCTCCCCAGTGTCACTCCCCCCATGGGGAGCCTCCACTCCTCCTCCCAGCCCCAGGCTCGGCTGGGCCCTCTCCTGCCCTGTGGCTGCCGTATGGGTCTAAGTAACTGTGGAGAGTAGAGTCTTGAACAGCCCACAGACTGGGTTTAAGTCTTAT